TAATAATAATATTAACCCATGACCAAAACTACTTGTGTTATCTGTGAATTACAGACATTGTATGAGAAATCACTGTAAAACTTTTGGTTCTGTTAACTGATGCATGTGGCCCCCAGTCACATTCCCCATGCTTGCTCAATCTATCGTAACCCTTTCATGTGGACCCCGTAGAGTCGTAAGCCCTTAAAAGGGCCAGGAATTTCTTTCTCAGGGAGCTTGGCTCTTAAGACACAAGTCTGCCGAAGCTCCCAGCCAAATAAACCTCTTCCTTCTTTAATCCGGTGTCTGATGAGTTTTGTCTGTGGCTCGTCCTGCTACAATAGCAGCATTATTCACAATAGCCAAGAGGTGGAAGCATCCAAAGTGTCCACCTACAGATGAATGAATAAAGAATACAATACATGAATATTCATACAATGGAATATCAGCCTTAAAAAGGAAGGAAATTCTGACATATACTACAACATGGATGAACCTTGAGGATATTATGCTAAGTGAAATAAGCCAATCGCAAAATGACAAATACTGCATAATTCCACATTTGAGGCACCTGGAGTAGTCAGTCATTGAGACAGAAAGTAGAATGGTGGTTGCCAGGGGCTGGAGAGGGGCAATGAGGAGCGGTTTGGTTGGAACAGATATCAGTTTGTGAAGATGAAAGTTCCATAGGTGGATGGTGGTGATGTTTGCACAACAACGTGAATGTACTTAATGTCTTAGAACTATACACTTAAAAATGTTAAGATGGTAAATTTTATGCTGTATGTATTTTGTCATAATTCTACAAAATTAAAGGCAGTTTCATTAGTTCTCTGTTATAACTTGGATGCCAGTTCATGCAGAAAGGCAATCTCTTCAGGTCTGCCAGGATGGAGTGGTGACCTGGAAGAGAATCCTGTTCACTGGAGCAGGGGGCTGCTCTCTTTCGAAGATGCAGTGGAGGTTTTCTCTTTCTCCACATGAAGGTGAGGAAAGATGACAATGGCAGGGGGTGGGGGATAGGCAGTGAAGTGCATTCAGCAAACTGTGGAGTTCCATCCAGACCAAGAAATTCTCCTTAAATGAAGTCTGTGGCACAGTTCTGGCTTCCATGCCCACTGTCTTCTGTGATGCTCTTGGTAACCAGCAGAGAGGGCAGGGCATGTTGTGTCACATCTGCTTTTCGTGAGTTTAGACCAGGGGTTCTCCACCTCGGCACTAGTGTCTTTTGGGCCAGAGGATTCTGTTGTGTGTGGCTGTCCTGTGCATTGTTGGATGTATAGTGGCATCCCTGGTTTCTACCCACTAGATGCCGGTAGCCCTCCCCCCGACCCAGTTGTGACAATCAAAAATGTCTCCCGACATCACCAGTGTCCCCTGGGGGGCAGAATCACTCCTGTTTCAGAACCATTAGGTTAAAGGTTTTGAGACGCACACAGAGTCTGCACAAACCCAAGTCTTCTAATTCCAGATCTCCCATTCTGCCATGACACCAAGTTATTCTCCACCTAAGGCCCCCTTGACAGCCACTCCCCACCCTTCTCCTCCCTAGAGCAGGACATCAAGGGATGCCTCACTGGGCTTCCTGGCTCTCTGGCTCAAGTGGGTCAGCAAAATGGGAGCCACTGGTGAGAGAGAGGAGGGGAGAAGCGAGAGGGTGGGGTGTGTCTTCACCTGTCCTGGCCTCCATCCCTGCACACCAATGGGGACTATGACAATGAGTTGGCTACACCAGGCTTTGGCATGACCTCTGCCTCCCTCTGCCCAGTGAGGCCTGGGAACAAGGACAGCTCCCACAGCCACTGCCCCTGCCTGCTTCCCACTCCCTCGTCCCTGGCGTGGCCTTTGCATGCCTCTGTGCATGGACCTTTGATTCATTTATTTCCAATTAAATCCTCTGACTGGGTCATCTGTTCCAGCCTGTTAAAACCATCACCCAAACTTAGGACAAGAACTGAAAGTCAGCAGGTGAACACGCTGCAGCTGATTATCCACACCTGCCCTTCCAGCAAGCTCTCTGCTGCTCTATTGAATACGTCTCCTCTCTGAAAGCCCCCAATCCTGCTCGCTAATGCTCTTACGGTGCGCTTCTCCCGCCACCGTGGGTTAAGTTATTTCTGTCCTGTCTTATCTCCTCCACTGGACTTGGGGATTTGGGAGGAAAAAAGAAAGGGATTGTATTTCACTCCATGTATATGAAAATGAATTATTTTGTGTTGTTTTCCATTTTTCTTCAATACTTGGATACAAAATTGTATTAAGACATTTTTAGAATTATTTTGAACTTCCACAGTTTTTAGAATAATCTATGAAATTTTCAGTTTTTGAAACTTTCACAGATTTCTTTCTACCTTTTGGATCTCATTGGGAAAGTACTCCAGGCACCTGCAGCATTTATTCTCATCTGTTGGGGACTAACTGGCTCGCAGCATTTTTTTCAAAGCTCTACAGGGGCCAAACAAGATGCCTGGCTTAATCTAATAAGCTCTCTGGGTGCCCTTGTGCCTGAAAGTACTAACTTTTGGGTATTTTCTTGGACTCCTCAGAACCAAATGGCACCTCACTTCAAATCATGGTCCACTTGTTAAACTTACTGAGTGCTTGATACATGCCCAGAGTGTGATCCGCACTCAATATATGGATAATTAATTCAAATGTAATCTGACTTAACATACTCTGTACTCCAACTCTGCAGACAAATTTGTAGTGGAAGGAGTCTGGTGCATGAATAAATAGATACAAATTCAGTACAAAATACGTGTTTCATGACATTTTCGTGGAAAGGAAGTGAGGAAAGTTGGGAGGAGCAGATGTGATGAACATCTAGTTTTTGGGGAGGCCTCAGGGATGCCCGAAAGGAAGTCACTACCCAATCCAGGTAGCCCTGGTCTAGGAGAGGTGAGGAGGAGGGGCTGGGGAGCTAGTGATACAGACAGAGGCGGGCCCATAAGCACACTACAAAGCTGGAGAAAGACAGCAGTTAAAGAAAAGTGGCATAAAGTCAGAAAAAAGTCTGAGATGCAACAGTGTCTTGCTCTGTCACCCAGGCTGGAGTTCAGCGGCATGATCACGGCTCACTGCAGCCTCTATCTGCAGTGATGGCTCAAGCAATCCTCCTGCCTCAGCTTCCTGAGTGGCTGGGACCACAGATGCATGCCACAACGCCCAGGCTGCTCTTGAACTTCTGGGCTCCTCAAGGAATCCTCCCAGCTTGGCCTCCCAAAGTGCTGGGATTATAGGTGTCAGCTACCACACCCAGCTAGAATTAGTTTCTTTAAACGCTAGGCACTGAGTCACACAGAATGCCTGAGACATGATCATTGCCCCTAGGAAACTCAGCTGAAAATCCAAGTATGCAAGACTGCCTGGATGCCCAGAAGGCCTAGGAACATCAAGAAACCTAAGTCCATGGGCGGGGGTCTGTGAGAGCCAAGAGAGAAGGCTTTCTGGGCAGGGTGACCAAAGTTGTAGCCTGGGGGGCAGGACAGATCCACACCAGCCTCAGAGGAACAGGCAGGGCCAGCTGTGCTGCAGGCATCTTCATAGAGAAGATGCAGGAAGGGTTTCTGAGGGCAGACGCAGGGAAGGGTGCAGGGCTGGTTCTGAGTCAAGGGCCACCTTCTCTCTGCGCTGCTCATATGCACCACTTATGTTATCCAGAGCGAAGCAGTGAACATTGTAGGGCTGTGGCTGGTGGCTGCAGTGAGGCCAAAGACCTCAGTCCTGTGGGAACCTCTCTGATCCTCCAGAGACCTCAGGGGCACAAATAAAGCAATCCAACGTACAGAGAAGACAGACATGGAAAAAGTATGTTTGGGTTTTTAGAGACTGTATTAGTCCATTCTTGCATCACTATACACAAATACCTGAGATTGGGTAATTTATAAAGAAAAGAGGTTTAATTGGCTCATGGTTCTGCAAGCTGTACAGGAAGCATGGTGCTGGCATCTGCTCGGCTTCTAAGGTGAAGCCTCAGGGAGTTTTCACTCAAGGTGGAAGGCAAAGGGGGAGCAGGCACTTCACATGGTGAAAGCAGGCTCAAGGTGGGGGGAGGTGCCACATACTTTTAAACAACTAGATCTCATGTGAACTCCAAGCAAGAGCTCACTTATCACCAAAGGGATGGCCCAAGCCATTCATGAGGCATCTGCCTCCATGATCCAAACACCTCCCAGCAGGCCCACCTCTCACATCAGGGATTACATTTCAACATGGGATCTGGGTGGGGATAAATATCCTAACTATATCAGGGACCATCTCAAAAAAGTGTCACAGAAGAGCAGGGGTTGGAAGAAAAGGAGTTTTGTGTGAATGCGAGCAGTGCCTTCATGCACATGGAATGTGGGGCCATCCTGGAAGAGGTAACCCTCAGCCACACACACAAGAACGCACCCAAGTGTGTGTGCACACACATGCACAGCCACATGATGGCTTTATATCCCATCTCAATAGCCTGTCCTGAATCCCTTCTTTTGGAAGCAGGAGCTATATCTATCTTTAGCGTTCCTGCAAATACCACAGCACTCAGGACACTGCATGAAACCCAGTGTCTTCTAGAGCAGTCAGTAACTGTCATTAAAGATGGTCCTCCCTAACGTGGGCAGATGAAGCCAGTCCAATGGCCGGCGAGGTACACATGCAGGTGTACAGGCAATGGTGTTGAGTCAGATTTCTCTGGTTGCTATAGTTTCAAGGTCACTGGATGGTAACTAGGCAGCTTTGCTGGTACCTTGTCCCTGTGCTTTCCCTCAAACTCTAAACTGACCTGAGAAACCCCTAACCTGACATGCAACTAGTCCTCTATGCTATATTTCCAGTTGCCATCTTGGACACCTCTACCTACCTTTTGCGGACACAGCGATGTGTCCCAAACTGCAGTCTTGTTCCCTTGCAAACATGCCCTCCACTTGCATCCCTTCCTCACCATTCACTGTGCTGCCCAAACTACAAGCATGAGCATTCGCCTTTTATCCTCGATTCTGGCTCTCTGTCGCGTCAGCAATCCTTCCCCGTGTTGCTGTGGAGATGCTTCCCCGGCACCTACCTGAACCATAGCTGGATGCTGATTGCTCTTTCTGCCTCCTGCTTTTACTCCCACCCTCACCTCCTTCTCCACACTCCTACCACCGATGTCTTCTAAAATGCAAATGTGAGTACATCACTCCCCACTGCAGTATCTGTCAGTGACCCTGAAATGCATTCAAAAAGAAGTACAATATGTTGGCAAGGTCTACCAGTCTTAATTCAGCGTCGTTGTTCCTTCAGTCTCATCTCTGGCCATAACAAAACGTCCTGTGCAGTGCTCTGTCATGCTTCCAAGCCTGACCCCCCTCATCCCAGTCCTGCAGATTTGTCACATGTCATGTCCTTCTGATTGCTGGTTTTCTTCTGTTTCCATGCAAGCATGTGAATTCTTTGAGGACAAGGGTAGTGCCTTGTTCACCATGAAATTTCTGGCATCATGCTTTGCACATAATAGTTATCCAGGCCGGGCGTGGTGGCTCACGCCTGTAATCCCAGCACTTTGGGAGGCCGAGGTGGGCGGATCACAAGGTCAGGAGATCGAGACCATGGTGAAACCCCGTCTCTACTAAAAATAGAAAAAATTAGCCGGGTGCAGGGGCGGGCGCCTGTAGTCCCAGCTACTCGGGAGGCTGAGGCAGGAGAATGGCGTGAACCCGGGAGGCGGAGCTTGCAGTGAGCCGAGATTGCGCCACTGCACTCCAGCCTGGGCGACAGAGCGAGACTCCGTCTCAAAAAAAAAAAAAAAAAAAAAATAGTTATCCAACAAATGTGGGTCGAATGAATGAATTGTATGCAACACCGGATCAGGAGCTATGATACAAGTATTTTGGTGGCATAGGCTTGTCTCAGAGAAGCCTCTAAGCCTCCCTAAGAGTTCATGGCCATAAACCAATAGTTTCAGAGCTACTCCTTTTTTGATATGGATATATCTTGGGCTTATTAAATTGAAAGCATATATTTTATTTTTAAAATGTTATTAAGTTAACTAGGGGCATCGCTCCATCCTCAAAATTGTTTTGGAGACACCATTAACCCACCTAAATTATTAATTTAAAAAAAAGCCATTTATTCCACACAAATAGCTGTTTGAGGCTGTCCTGCTTACCTACAGATACTCGTCTAAGAGCCCATAGACATTCAGACACCCGCAAACACAACTTACTTTCTGGACCTCCCACAACATTCCTCACTTTAGATCTTTTTTTTCTTATCCCCTGTCTTTCAGCTTTCCCATTGCAGAACTGCTGAGAATAATCGAAAATGCTCTGCCTGGCAACTTCCAAGAACAAAACCCCAGGGACTAAGAGAACGCGATGATTTTTAAGCTGCCAGTTAAGATGTAGGTCCTTCATCATCACAGGTGAAGCACCAATGCCTCTCGCACGTGAAATCCGTACACTCCTAGAGTCTTACTACCTAATGCATTTCCGCAATCCGGGACGCCTGTCATTAGCGTCTCCAATAGTTCTGGGAACGAGGTGGACTGCGGAAGTACTGTATTAAAAAGTTAACGTTTTTCCCTGGGACACCCCCTCCTCACAGCTATTAACGAGGGTAGAGAAATCAGGTGACTCCCAGTCATCATGCAGAGGTTTCCTTACCATTTACGATCCAGTCAAATTAAAGAATAAAAATAAAATCCTATTGGCGCAGCGGCCACCAAGTCTTCGAGGCCTGGCCTCGGTGGGCGGGGCCGAGGCCGGAGGAGAGGGGCTGCACGAGTGGGCGTGACCTCGCGGAAGGAGCTGCGGAGGGCGGGGCCAACGGGGAGCGGCGGGGCTGTCGGGTGGGTGGGACCTCGCCGGAAGAGCTGCGGAGGGCGGGACCAACCAGGAAAGGGCGGGGCTGTCGGGTAGGCGGGACCTTACGAGAGAAACTGCGGAGGGCGGGACCAACTAGGGAGGGACGGGCCTGTCGGATGGGCGGGACCTCGAGGGAGGATCTACGGACGGTGGAGCTGGTGAGGGGAGGGGCTATTCAAGAGGAGGAGCCGGTCGAGGGGAGGGGCTGGTCGAGGGGAGGGGTGGTCGAGGGGAGGGGTTGGTCGAGGGGAGGGGGTCGAGGGGGTCGAGGGAGGAGCCGGTCGAGAGGAGGGGCCGGTCGAGGGGAGGGGCCGGTCGGGGGGAGGGGCCGGTCGAGGGGAAGGGCTGGTCGAGGGGAGGGGAGGGGTTGGGGGCTGGTTGAGGGGAGGGGAGGGCAGGGAAGGGGAGGGGAGAGGTTGGGGGCTGGTTGAGGGGAGGAGAGAGGAGGGGAGGGGAGGGGAGGGTTTGGGGGCTGGTTGAGGGGAGGAGAGGGAGGGAGGGGAGGAGAGGGAGGGAGGGGAGGAGAGGGAGGGAGGGGAGGAGAGGGAGGGAGGGGAGGGGAGGCGGGGCCTAGCGGGGTCCCGCGAAACAGCCGCTCTCTCGGTTCCCGGGCCTCTCTGTGCGCCTCAGTGCAAAGCGTGCGGGGCACTCTTGACTGCAGCGAGACCTGCGGCGGTGAGGGGGCGAGGCCAGGAGGCCGCGGTTCACGCCTCGCCGGCTGCAGAAGTTGTTGCCATACATTTCAAATGTGCATTTCCTACGTCTCACGCTCTGTCTTGCGCCTCCACAGCGGGCCACGGCCCTATCACCGCAATCGCAGCCACACGCTCCCTCCCCTGACTTCGCTCGGCTCTGCTCTGCGGCCAGACCCGTGCCCTGAGGCCGCGGCCTGCCTTAGGCCGGCTCGCGGCGACTCGCGACGGAGAGCGCGGGTGTGAACGGGTCGCGCGGAGAGGGTGGGGGGAGCGGGGAGCGTTAGGGCACGTGGGGGCGCGTCGACCAATGGCAGGGCGCTGTTGAGGGCAGCGGGGCGGGCCCGGGCGCGGGGGCGGGGCGAGAGGCGAGCGGGCGGGGCGGGGCGGCCGGCCGGGGGTGGGGAGGGGCGGGGCGGGCCGGCCGGGGGAGGGGCGGAGAGACGCCGCCGCCGCTGCCGCCGCCGCCGCCGCCGCCGCCGCCGCCGCGGCTGCCGCAGCCTTTGGGAGCCTGGAAAAGGGGAAGCGAGAGCGAGCGAACGACTCAGTCCCCGGGCGGCGGCGGCGGCGGCGGCGGCGGCGGCCGCGGGGGCGCGACGGCCGGGGTGGGGGCGCTGCTGCTGCGGGGGCAGGCGGCGGCAGGGGCGGCGGCGGCGGAGGTGGCCCGCTCCAGCCATGCCGAATAAAAACAAGAAGGAGAAAGTGAGTCCGGGCCCGGCCGCGGGACGGAGGTAGCGGGGAGGGACTGCCGCGGGAGGGCGCGACGGCACCGGGATCCTGCGCCCGGGCCCCGGCTCAGCCTCCCCGCCCGACACCGCGGGCTCCCCGTCCCCGAGGGCGGCCGGGCCAGGCATCCCCTGGCTTCTCTCGCCCTCAAGCCTGGTGGGGGCGGGGAGCCCGGGGATCGCGCCGGAACCGCGGGGCCCAGGCCCGGGCCGCGGGGACCTTCGTGACGGGCCGGGGTTGAGCGTGGAGGGAGGGCGCGGCCCGGGGAGAGGGTCGGAGGGGCGCCGGCCCCCGACAGCGCGCCGTGGGCCTGGGCGGGCAGGTGCGGCCGCCGAGGGGTTTCGCAGCCTCGCAGTCTCCCGGAAAGGAGCTTCAGGGATGGGGGCTGTAGACTCCTGGGGAGGGACCCCTGGACGGGGGAAAGGGAGCGGGAAGGGACCCCGCTGAAAGCTGGTAAGGAATTCTGTGCCGCCCCAGAGGGACGCTGTGAGGCTCTCAAACACTATTATTATCCTGGGTGGCGGCGGCGGTGAGGGCTGCGAGCAAGGGTGCTGCGTTTGCATTCGAGGGGAGCGGGTATGTTTCTGCTTCAGGTGGAGCTCTGTAGCGTTTCATTATCACCCCAGAAATCCTCATAGGGTTTAGGGTGGGAAGGAAGAAAGGGATGTGATACGGATCTCAAAATGCCAGAAGCACTGTGTAAAATTGGATATATCTGTTTTCTGCTTGAAGTTTTCAACCTCAAATGCAGATAAAACGAAAGGAATCTGAATTGGGGGTGGGGGGCATTGCACTGTTGGAATCCTAAACAATGTGATATAGAATTTCCTAATGGGATGAATTAAAAATATCAGAAGCTCTAGTTAAGTTGTATAAATAAATCACTTTTAAAACTGCATTTGGCTTATCTGATATTTACCTGTCTAAAAAGTGAGAAGACTAATTGCCTTTGCTTGATGTTTACCAGGAATCACCAAAAGCAGGAAAGAGTGGAAAAAGTTCAAAAGAAGGACAAGACACAGTAGAATCAGAGGTAACTGTCATCAAATATTGACTTTGTATTTCATACACAGCTTTTAACTTAAGGTAGAAAAACTGAGAGTGATAAAGCCTAGAATCTTCTAAAATGCTTCTCTCTGTGAGGTTTTTTTTTTTGTGTGGTGTCTTTCATAACCCTCAATTTTAGTTGTTTAGGTATTTACTGTTTTGCTTTGGAAAACTATTAATGATTTTATGAAAATTGTGCTTGCCTATGGAGTTGGTTTGTGGGTCTTTTGGGGGTATTTTGTTTGTTTGTTTTTGAGACTGGGTCTCACTTTGTCACCCAGGCTGGAGTGCAGTGGCTCAATCTCTGCTCACTGCTACCCCTCACCTCCCAGGCTCAAGTGATCCTCTTACCTCAGCCTCCCAAGTAGCTGGGACCACAGGCACATGCCACCACATGCAGCTAATTTTTTTTTTTAATGGAGTCTCACTCTGCCACCCAGGCTGGAGTGCAGTGGCTCGATCTCAGCTCACTGCAACTTCTGCCTCCTGAGTCCAAGCGATTCTCCTGCCTCAGCCTCCTGAGTAGCTGGGATTACAGGTGCCCACCACCATGCCCGGCTAATTTTTGTATTTTTATTAGAGATGGGGTTTCACCATGTTGGTCAGGCTGGTCTTGAACTCCTGACCTCGTGACCTGCCCACCTCAGCCTCCCAAAGTGCTGGAATTATAGGCCTGAGCCACTGTGCCCAGCCTGGAACTGGTATTTTTAAGTTCATTTCCCACACCTCAAACCCAGCAGCCCTCCTGTATAGGTTGGTGTTATGGGGTCTATGGTGGGTGTTGCTATGTTGCTTTTAGCTTTAGGGTCATCCTCCGCCACCGCCACTTCTTTGCAAGCTGCCAGGCGACTCAGTGGTTGGTTCTTTTTCTTCCATCACCTTTGTTTTCCTTCATACTATCTCTGCTACTGACGTCCTGGGCTAGCTCCCTATTTCTGTTGATGATTCCTTGGCCTCTTTCCCCCGTAATGTTGGTATTTGAAAAATTTACCTGATTTTGATATGTTATTGTTGTTCACATTCTGTATGTGTGTGTGTGCGCGCCTGCGTGCGTGCACGGGCGTGCATTGGCCACTTGTGAATTTCTTTGCCTCTTGGCTTTGGCCTCATTGAGGAACAGCTGGAATGCCAAGTGAGGACTGCATCTACTTGAACAAGGTTGATACTGTTCCTTCACACCGTGAAGTGCCTTCAGAGGATTTGCAGAGTCACCACTTTCCTTTGCCTTTTCTTCCTTGTGATTTATTGTTGAACTGGAGCACCTGGGGCCAAGGGTTCAGGAGCTGCGTGGACTCAGGCAGAGCTGATGGGTCCTTTTGAATCCATGGGTAGCAGATAATTGGCTTAATAGAGTGTCATTTCTCCAGAGCTGGATCATTGAGGTCCCAGTCTTATCACAAACGACATTTATTTGCCAGTGTCAGACTTCCTCCTGTAAGCCAAATTAGAATGAGTTCAGTTCTGTCTGGGAAGCACAGTGAACTGGCGATGATCTGCAGTGGACTTTTTTTTAGCTCTGCGTTCTCTCTTTTCTATCACTTGGTGTATTCTGAACCTCCCTCCTCTTCAGCAGGTGGTTTATTCCAGCAAATCTGTTGCCCTCCCCAAAGCAAAAAGCAGAAATCCAAAAGGTTCCTTAAATGTCAATAGTTAGGATCATTTGTGCCAGTCTGTCCCTCCCTGTCTTTATAGCAGACAACTGAGGTTTACTATGCCATGCTTGGATTTCACTTGCTTATTTCTTCCCTGTCACCCTTTTGACTAAATTCGTTTAGATGAAGACGAAACGTAGGTGCTTCATGGAGGTGTATGCGATATGCCTTTTTTTTTTTTTTTGGTCTTTTGATCTTTCATTAAAACTGCTAAGATTTCTTCTCCCCATAACTTTCTTGCTAACGTACCTATATCCTCTTACTTTAGGGATAGGAGCATCAGTGTGTATATTTCATTTATTCCTATTTTTAGTAGGAAGATCCTGGCTGTAAGGATGAATAATGCTAAGTTTAAACCTGAAAAGTCTGTCAGTAACTCAAAGATACCAAAACCACTACTATGTGAAATGTGTGTTTTGAAAGCAGTTTGCCAGCCATGTAAGACCTGCGGTGTAGCCTGCAGTGCCTGAGTATGATGCCCCACTTGTCTTTTTGTATTTTTTCTAGTGCTACTGTCTAAGAGCTGGAGCTACAGAGCTTGAAATTACCACTGAAAAATACTGAAATGTTGGGCCCTTCACTGCTTCCTTATAAGGATACCAGAGGCAACATGGCATATTAAGCTTGACACTTGGCAGATCACTGTGTAAATTGTTTTTCAGGAATACAAATTGAGACACTTCTGTTCATTTGACCTTTGAGTTGACCCTTAACTTTTTTATTATTGTTTTTTTTCCCCTCAGTCTTCAGCTGACTGCTTCACTTCTAGTTCCACCCACTTACCAAATATGATTGACTCATGCAGGTGAATTAAACCATTATTGCACACTTTTTCCCTCTCCTCTCTTTCAGTATTACTCTTAACTTGAATATTTTAACCTGAACGGTTTAAATAGGCTTGACAGTCCCATGCTGCTTTCAAGCCCTTTTATTTTATTTTATTTTATTTTTGAGACCGAGTTTTGCTCTTGTTCCCATGCTGGAGTACAATGGCGTGATCTTGGCTCACTGCAGCCTCCACCTCCCGGGTTCAAGTGATCCTCCTGCCTCAGCCTCCCAAGTAGCTGGGATTACAG